CCCCCCCCCCCCCCCACCAACAACACCAACAACAACAACGACACCAACAAAGAGAGCCGACGCCCCCACCCAAACCAGCAACAGCAACAGTAGTAGCAGCAGCAACAACAACAACAACAACCACGGCAACTATCACTGGCTTTACCGGAGCTGCACCACCGCCCTCCGCCGCTGGAACCTCGTCCGTGCCCGTGTAGCTCGGGTCCTGGGCGGCGCTGCTAAGAAGTCTAGTAGGGAGTCGGCAGCCCTGCGTGCAGGCAACATAATTGCACAGCGAAAATGACGTCGATTCTTCAGTTGCCCCAAGAACGACGACCCCACAAGGGTTCATGTTATTTCCGAGAATAGCAGGGAGTTCCTGGGCTGATTTCGGCTGGCTCTATCTCCAAGTACAACGTGCCACGAAATGTGCGTTAAGGTTGTTTGCAATGGCTGTAAATTTCGATTGCCTTCGACGACGACGACGACGACGACGACGACGACGACGACGACGACAACAGCAGCAGCAGCAGCAGCAGCAGCAGCAAAAGAGGAAGGTGACGAATGCCACAATTTCTCGAGCTACCTTCACCAAAATTCTACCCAGTGGTCTCGAACCAAGGCCGAGAAAATCGCGGGCCAGGGGGATTCATGCTCGAAAACGCTAGGCTTTGACGGAAGACCGAAACCCGGGGATGGGACCGCAACATCCCCTGATAACAACGCTTCTCGGTCGCCCCTGCTTGATGGAAGGATAGCGATGGATATCTCGGGCTAGAGGTCAAACGCCAACTACCCGAAAGTGCTGGCGATTGCACAAACCTACTATTATAGATCGACTTTCGAGGCTCGCTTGTTCCACACCCAAAAGGCTGCGAAAAGCGACTGGCGCGTGCAAGGGATACAAACATCGCCCGCCTTTCAAGAGAAGCTTGATTTTCGACAGCAGACGGTCACGTCCGTCAATCTTGCGGAGATCAACCAAGCCCGGGGATGGCACAGTCGGCATCCCCGCCTTTCGTGTGGATAGATACGTATGTACCTTTTGCTTGATGACGGAGACGTATCGCTTCGGCTCGAGATCGTACGACTGCGTCACGAGGCCGTAGTGCGCCGCCAGCTCGTGCGCGGCCTTCCTGTCAAGCTGTTCCGACGGAGCGCATGGAATATGCACAACGAAATGAAAAAGGACATGATGAATAAAGATAAGCGACGATATGAAGGGCTTCTGAAATTCGGACGTGCTGCGGCTGCCCTGGCAGTTTCAGGTACACGCAGAAGAAGGAAGCCGACGTTCGCCTTTTTCTCTTCAGCGGTACACTGTAAGAAAAAAACAAATGAACGATTTGTCACGCATGTAGCGAGTGGAAGGTTACGGCTCGTCAATTGAATGGTTTCTGCTTGTCCTTTGTCCATGTCTTCTTACATGTGCGCTGGGGCACAAAGGAGAGGCAGCCGAAAGAGAAAAAAAGAAAAAAAGAAACTATCGCGGCGAAAACAACAAGAAACGACGATCGCACTCTCGCTGGCGGCATTGGCTTCGCGTGTTTCTATCTGACTACTGCTGTAGCTGCCAGCTTTTAACCACAACAAGAGCGCACGCCCAAGGAATTCGGTCGACACAGACACACACAAATATGTGCGTGTGAACATGATGAGAGGTGGGCCAGGACAAGACATGCTGTAGGCCAAGACCATTGCGTGTTTCCTCCTCACCGACGGCATCGGCTTGAGTTGACAGCTTGTTCCCTTGGGATCGGACACCAGTTCGGCGAGCCGTCGTTCCAGCTTGCCCAGCTCCGTACGGTTGGCCCTTATAAAAAACATAGGCGAAAGAGACCAAAACTCCGCATTTTATGTTTGGCATGGACTCCCCGTGAAATGAATCTGAACACGTTAACCTCAAGAGAGCAGTACTACCGGCTGTCGTCCCTATACAACGCCGGTAGGTTCCTATACAATGCAGGTGGATTCGCTTGGTGCTGATCGAACGGCCAAGATGGCAACGACATTGCGCCAAACATCGGTATCTACGCGCCCGCTGGCAAAGCCAAAATGCCGGTGGATACGCATGCCACGTGACTGTCAGTGGCATGACCCTGCGGACCATTTTCGACCGCACGGAAGCTGTTATCAGACACGGGAAGGTCAACAGGCCCTAGGACCTTTTTCCGACGGTGGTACGAGGTGAATACCTAGAGATGGATCCATGTATGCATATGTCGCATGGGTTTCAAGAAAAAACAAATCAACAGTGACAACACGACCTCCGCAACGACCACCAACAAAGCCACACGAGGATGATGAGAGTCATCATATCGCCGGCGAGCCTAAGATGACCCCTCTCCTATCTCTCCGTGCACTATTTTTACAACAGACAAGTGCGACGCCGGTACGGCTGGGTATTGACCGTCTGCTGGCAATTCGAAGCATGACTGGCGTGGGAGAGTGGGAGAGTGGGAGGGAGGGGGGAGAAGGGGGGGGAGAGAGAGCACGAAAGAGAGAGAGAGAGATAGCGCAAGACGCAACACCTCGACTAGCGGTATTCTCGACCCACTAGTTAGTTGCCGAGGTATCATCAAGCTTCGAAAACCCACCGAGGGTGCGTGCGTGTCATGTCACGCACAACCCTGCCACCACAACTCCAACCACACTAACCTTGCCCAGGACACGAGGTAGGTCGAGTAGTTGGTCCTCGTCAGGTGCTCTCGAATCGCATCCAGCCCGTCGCCGATGCCCATGGCCACCGCCGCCCCGCTTGCTGTCGTTCCGACCTTGTTGGAAAAAAAAAAAGACGTGGCAAGGTACCCGTCAGTTGACGGTTTCATATCACAGATACATTGCAGAGTTAGGCGGTTGGAAAAGCTACCGAACGTGCCGGCGACCACGGCGGCACCAACGTCCAATTTTCAAGTCGAGCAACGAGCACCCAAACACTCCATCAAGCTGCCACGCTCATTCCGCGCCTACCGCCGGGGGAAAACATATTCCCCACAAACGCAAGTCCAGATTTTGGTTGGGAATGGCTCTCCCTAACCCGACACCATCAGTCCTACGAACGGGGGTTCGCAGAGAACTTTCAGGCAGCTAGTTACCTTCGCCCCGCCGATGGCGGCGCCCGCTCCGAGAGCCGCCCTGATGCCGAGGGCGTCAGCGAGGCGCTTGTTTCGCAAGAGCTGCCGTTTTTCCTTCTCCTGTCGTCGAAACGATAAGACGTTGTGCGGTCGCGTTGGTGGAACCCTCCCAAGTCGTTGAATCAACGGCGCCACGAATTCATTTTCCGCAGGTACCACGTCGTTCTAGAGAGAGAACAAACAGCAACGTAGCGCAAATCTGGCCAGAAGGCGTCCTTGCTATACCCATGGGCGAAACCACGCGATCTACAAGGGACAAATACCAACTTCCCAATCATCGACCACCGCATACGCTGGAGATGGTGACGCCAGTTGACACCCCCGAACAATACGCACACCATCTGTCTTGTAGTTCTAGAGTTTTTTCTTCTCTGTATACCTTTTCCTCGGAGCCGTGGCCGCCGCCGCCGCCGCCGACGCCACCCCTGCTGGAGACGCTCGAACCTGTCGGCGCACCGCCTCCCGCCCTTCCGCCGCCCCCCCTCTGGTGATCCGGCCTGATGTTCTTCCCCACCAGGGAGAGCGCGTGTCGCTCCTGCCGGGCGCCGCCGCCCGCGCCGCCGCCGCCGCCGCCGCCGCCGCCGCCGGAGGACCGCGGCGGCGCAGCCGGCAGAGACGGAAACGCCTCCTGCAAGGGATCAGCAGCAGCGCTCCCACCACCGCTCGGTAAGTTTCTGGTTCTTCCGGTGGGAGTCGTTCCGGGGGCGGGAACGGTTGACTCGCGTCCCCGGGTTGAAGGCACGGGGACCATGACGCCTCCAGCGAGGTCGAGTTCGGGGTCGGGAGCGGCGAGAGACTCCCCTGGTGCTGATAGATGCACATTAATCGAGGCAAGCGAGGACACGGGTACATGGTGGGGGCCAAAAATCATCGTGATTGCGCACAGCCTGTGGTGTACATTACTGGTGTTCTTGAGAGGCCTTTTTCGAAATCAAAGTGTAAGTGTGTCGATTGCAACAACACATACTTGGGGATCGCCCACCAGAAAAACGCCGCATTTTAGCCCTCTGACTTGAGTAAAGAACCAAGAGGCGTGTATAAGTATAAACGAAGAATCAACGGGTCATTCAAGCTGTACCTGTCGGTGTGGTGGCATCAGCCACGGAGTTGTAGGAGGTGTGGAGGCCTGTGCCATCGCGAGCCGCGCGGCGAACGTTGAAGCCGACGCCTCCCGCTGACGCGGCGCGGCGGTCGGTGATGCCGTGGTCCTCCAACAGATGTGCCTGTTTTTGTCGAAACAACAAAAGTTACCCCCCCCCAACAGCAAACATAATAGGATCCGTGGTCAATGGTCTAACCGCTATAACATGTAAATAATGAGTACTCCCTCCCAAACAGCAAGAAAAGATGAAGGCCTGCTTCTGGTTCATCACCTTGTGAATCATAGCTTGGGCCGGCGACAACCCGGCAGATCGCCTCGTCCCGGCATTCGAGGCCAATGGTGTAACGCATACGGCAATCGTTTATACCCTCTCCCCGACCAGCATCATCGTCACCATCATAGTCCCGACTTAAGATGATGCATCAGTCCATCGTGTAACAGACTACAGACGCAGCCAAAACAAGTCCCCTCGCACACACATATCGCCTCATGACACCTGAAACTCCAAAGGAGTGTTGAACGCGCTGACGACGCCGCGCTGTCGGCAGGCTCCCCTGTCGCACAGGAAGTGGGAGGTCCTCAAGTGGTCCCGGAGCTGGGGCTCTCCGCGGAAATACCTGCAGCAGCAGCGATAGTAGCAGCAGAGGCAGCAGCAGCAGCAGGGAGGCAGGACATGTCACGCAAACGCCGATCACGAGCTCTCCTCCAAAAAACGGCATAACTAGCAAGTGTCTTGCGCGAGGTGGTCCCATCGACACCAATCCGAGACTGGTAAACCCGAATACCCCGGAGAACAAATGTACCATTTCCTGGGGTTGTGCCGGTGCTCCGACAATGTCGCCGTCGTGGCGCATGATTGGTACGGACAAGAAGACTGTCCTTGAAACACGTCACCACCACCACGACAACCTCCTCTTCCTCCCCCTCCTCCACCTAGGTACACATTCGTAGCAGATTACGTAACTGCCCCGAACCGACCACCACGGAGTACAACATATCTCCGTTTCTCCGTACGAGGCCATACTGTCATAGAACCTTGCTTGCCTGTGCTGGTTCTCTTCCGGGCAAAGATGACAGTTGATGTGCGTCCCCGTCATGTGGTCGTACAGCGCCGTGTTGTCGAAGAACCTGCTCTTTCCCACGCCCCCCCGCCCGCGCCCCGAATGTAACAATCACCATATGCAGCAGACACGAAACACGACGGCGCGCACAACAAACAATTACGGGCGCGCACCCGGACAAAAGCATAATCACGCAACAAGCTGAACGGATGCTAACTAAAAAATGAGCGAACAAGGTCGTCCTCTCGGGCCGTGGCTCTTCATGATGGCGTCTATACCCCGGGGGAGGGGGTACAGGGTGCAAACACGGGGCTCTCCCGTGGGGCTTTCCGGAAAAAACAGCGACGTATTGGCCGCTGCTCTTCCTTGGCAACGTTGTAATCAAAGTCGGTTGAGCCTGCCTAGATCTATTCCCGTTGGAAGCCTAGCCTCTACAACCCGAAAGTAAGAGAACTTAAAGAATGGGGCTACCCACAGACGTCCGTATGCCGTGAAACAGAAGCATGCGGAAGGCAGAAGGCTGTTGTTCGCGCGAGAGCTGTCTCAACGAACTGCCCCTGGCATTGCGATGTAGTCCTACCGAAAATGAAGGATAATATTGCGGGATACGACAGCAAAGGCTTGCCTCCTCGCAGCGACAGAATAGAAATTCTAGTGCTTTCCATGAAAAGAAGGGCAAAGGTTGCTCCGTTCTCCACCTTTTTTTCTTTCTTTAGCGCTCGCTCTGAACGAACAGCACTGCATTTGGTCTTCCTCGACACTCGAGTGCGCCCACCCTGCAAGGCAACAACAGCGCCCTCGTTCTCATCCAAGTCAGGGTTGTTTGTGTGTATGCTTTCTTCATTAGCGTCGACGGCGTTAACCGTGTCACCAATGAAAATACGTCAGTCGTAGCGGGATGAAAAAACACCCAACAATTTCTTCATTTTTTTTTCCCCTCACCGCTTGTTGCAGAATCGGCAGAGGGGGTGCCCCCCTTCCACCCTAGCTTCGTGCTTTCGGAGGCCTGACGCGGTAAATACCTCCTGCTCGGAGAGAAACAGGGGCCTGCCCTCCAGGCAGAGCTCGCAGAGGAAGCGCTGGTGAAAGTCCTTCAAGTGTTCCATGAGAGCCCCTGCGAGCCAGACGTACACGCGCGTGACGCGCTCAGCGATAAGTGGCGCACAAACATGGAATACATCATCCACGGAGCGATACGTACATAGGGAAGGATATCGCCACACGGTGATGCAGCAACCGGTGGTGCCCTAACGGATCTGCGGGGTGAGAGCGTTGGGGGGAAACATGAACCCCAAAACGATCACGGGGGGCGGCGACTCATTCTCTTCTTCAGGGACTACTGTAGAAAGACGACACGGGGCGGGGGCCGGGGGCTAGGACTACTTGTGGCGACAAGGAGGCTACGATCAGATCTTCCGCACAAAGGAGTCAAGATCTCGGCGACACGCAGAAGGAGTACAAGACACCTTCCGAGCTACACAGCAGTGGAGGGAGGTCCGCCGAAAAGCTCGAACAAGAGAAAGAGGCGATGCTGGAGCTAGCCTCGAGTCGAAGGCAGGCAGGAGGCAAGAACCGAGAAAAGAGAGCAAAACTGCTAAGGAGAACGGTCGTGACACCACGATGGGGCCGTGTGCTCTGTACCTTCAGGCACCATCTTTGAAACAGGATTGTACACTCCCCTCCACTCTATTCCGCGAACCCCCACTTACGGGGACCTGCGGACAGAAAACATAATTGTTCCGTTTTTCTGTTTCTCGCAAGACAGACAGACACACGCCTTTTCATTGGTCAACCTGTTGATGTGGTCAAGGTTGACCAACATATGCTGCGCATGTATGACGCAGAGAACACGCACACACCTATGTTTGGAAACAGCTCGTGCCCACCGACGCCGCACCCTTGCCCGCCCTCCCGCCCACCCGCAGCAGCACCCTTGCAGCCCGTTACGGGACAGTAGAGGTCCCTCATCCTCAGGAGGTCGTCGTAATGCCCCCGGCAAGCGTAGAAAACCATGCCGCTTTCGTCGTCGAACACCGAGTCCGGCCCGGCGAAATCTCCCCAAAGGTTGAAGGTTTCGAACCGAGGGGCGTCGCGGCTAGCCGGGAGCTCCGCCACCACCTGGTGCATTTGATTTCCGGGCATATATAACTATGTACCGTTCAATAGACGCTCCCAAGCTGCATTGCCTTTCGTATTGCTAAGGTTGATCAAGAGTTTGTTGATGTTTCAGAGGCAAGCACCAAAAACTGGAAACCTGACCCATCCCGCTCTCGGGAGACGAACGAAACTAGCTGAGCTCCCAAACCAGAAGTTTGTACGGTAAAGTTAGCGCTAGTCTCACCAGCCTGTCCTGGACCGTCTTGCATTCGGGGCACGAGCGGTCCTTGAGGAGAACCCGGCTCCTCATCGCGCACGTGGAGCACCTGCCGCGCGAGCGTTCAAGTGGTCACGAGATCAGAAACACACACAACAACTCGAGAAGCAAGAACTGCTGTAAAGGCCTGGAGATGATGGCGGACATATCCTGGGTGCAAGCCTACCCGGCCTTTTGGACATCATTCCGTCTCATGCCCCTTCCCCCGCACCCCACCCCAGACGTATTTCTTCCTCGCGCGTGCAGGTGCCGTGTCTCAATCTTACCCCATCCCCGACCCCGCATCAAGTTGTCCTGTTCGCTCACCGTCCGGGGTGATTGCACTCGCCCACGGCGAAATATTCCATCTCGTTCGCGCACACGATGCAAAGAGGCCGCCCTCCCTCTTCTTCCTGATCCACCGCTCTGCTGCCGCCGCCGCCTCCCCGACCCGCCCCGCGGGAACTGCTTTTCGGGTTTCTGTTGGGAGCGGCGTTGCCGCGGTCCCCCCTGCCCCTGCCCCCGCCCCCGCCCCTACCCTTCGAACCATTCCACCCTCCCCTCTTTGACCCTCCTCTCTTGCTGGAGTTGCTGTTGCTCCCCTATTGGTGGCCAACCAAATTACATCACAAGGTCGCAGCAAAGGGTCGCTTCGGGGAACAGCGGGGGGGGGGGTGTTGTATTCCGTCATATCACCCACGGGGGCCGGGTCTACAGCAGTACGCATGTACAGCAGTGGCTTGCAATGCATACCCAGTAGAATATACACACCACCTTTATATTTGAAAGGACGAGTCACCTGTTGCAGCTCTGCCTGGGTGTCCTCGCCAGCTGTGTGGGGAGGAGCTGTGGCGCCGTCCCCTCCTATGTTGCGGCGGCCGGATTTTCGGCGGTAGTCGTTGTTGGCCTTCGCTCCACGGCCACCTCTGCCGCTGTTGCTTGTGTCGTTGTCATCTTCGGGGTGGCCTCGCCGAGGGCGGGTGGAAGGGGTGGACGACGCTGTAGAAATAGCAGCAGCAGCAGCAGTGGAAGGCACAAACGCGCTTGCTGCGGCTGACAACGGTGCTGTTCCTGCAGCTCCGTTGCCTCCAGCAGGCATGATTCTTGAGCGATGTATCCCAGTCTGTCAACCTCAGTCGCTGAGATGCCTCTTGCCACAGCAGCGTTCAGAAAGATGGATGGTTCTCGATCAGGAGAAACGTGACCACCCCTTTTGTCTGTGTCGCTCTCTCTTTCTCCCTCTCGCGTCGTATATATCAAGTGTGGTTCGCCGTGAGACACGAAATGGTAACACTGAGGAGGGTTTGCTGCAACTTCTGGAATACCTAACGAGGAGCGTTCCATGGAACGACGCCTCCAGTTGCGGAGCCCCCGTTTGGGGGGTTAGCTGTAGATCGTAGATCGGTTCTCCTGGTCATGCATCGCCCACTCGCATACCAAGGACAGGACGATATTGATTGAAGCTGAAAGGGCAATGAGCCGCAAGGGAAGTAGCGCCTCTGGGGTGAGTCCGCGTGGATGTGAATCCTAGAATGTAAGGCATCAAAATAGAACTACTTCAAGTTATTGACTGCAAGTCGACAGCAGTCCCGTGGGTGTGTTCCAAACATCACACCCCAAACACACCCTGATGTACATATAGTTCTATCAATGCACTTTACCCTTGCCCCCCTCCCGCACCACAGGAAGATAACTCTTGTTATCGGAAAGGCTTTTGAATGCCGTGATATGTTGTCTGCAACACTCCAATTGGCAACACAAGATTTCCGGTCGGGCTGGGGGAGGAGGTGTGGCGTACCACAGAAAACGACAGCAGTACTGCTGTACCGCATACTCACAGCACACCGCTACGTAGCCGACCTCTGTGGTCCATTGAGATATCTTCGACTTGCAGTGTATTGTAGTCTAGAAGCGTCGACATACGCAGGCGAATGCTCTCACGGGCAGTTGTGTCGGTAACAAATGGCAGAGTCTGAGGCATCATCGACGCTGACCTGCGTTGAAAAATTGCACGGGTGTGTTCTGTAGGGTACAGGTACTCTCTGTAGGGTACCGGGGGTGTCACAGAATTCACAGAACTACAGTCGACCCCCCTTTAAAGACACACCGCGTTTTTTTTTTTTTTGAGTGTCTTTAACGCGGGGAAGTGTCTTTAGGATTCCGGGGCCACTAACTCGCGGTCCCCGGGGTCAATGGAGGTGTAACATGTATGTGTCAAAATACGCGCATTTGAAGCAGGAATGCGACCACGAAATTGTGCTGCTTAAAAACTGCGACAACACGTCAATTGAAGGCCGCAACACTACTGCTGCTGTACTCCAATACTGTACACATTTTTGAATTTCCCTCCACCACCGAAACGCGGGAAGGAGTACAGCACGACCTGTTGTAATGTGTACGGCAGTGTGCGCTGGTGTTGTTGTAGGCTTTTCTTATTGTCAAGGCGTTGTCCTCACGGTGAACATCATGCCCGTGATATCGCGAACACACCTGAGACACATCAGTTTGTTGGAACTAGCTCTGATACGATACACGCAAGTTACCTGCCACATAGGGACCAAACAAACCCAGTCGACCCCTTATTAGAGGGATCTGAGGGACACTAGGAAACGGTCGGTAGCGCCGACCACAACATACAAAAAATCGGGCAAACCCACCGAAAAGAGAACACCGCTCTTCCCCAAAGGTCAACACGAGGCAAAAACACAAA